GGAATCGTGAAATTCGCTGATAATGACGTCACCACTCCCATAATCAGTTAAAATCCGACATCATTCTTGGAGCAATAAAATAGACGGAAAATTTTTTACAATGCTGTGGAATTTCGTTCTTCCAAAGAACAACATATTAAATATTCAGCCCCTCGATGCATGTAACGAGTCAGTGGTTCAAAATTTTGGAATTTCTCCATTCCAAAAAAAATAAAAACATAAAACGAAAATATGACGTTAAGAATTTTTTTAATTTTCATAAAATTTCATAAAAACTTAACAAGTACATTGACATTAGACAAGTTTACAATATATGGTTTCTGGAAAATGGATTTCTTGAGAAAAACATCAAAAATTAAACATAAAAGAAATGAAATTTTTAAAAAAAGGAAAATATTAGAGGATTTGAATAGCATAATAATCAGACATTTCGAAATATAATTTGAATTTTCAGCTCTCCAAATAAGGAGCTAGAAATGAGCATTTATTTAAAGAATACATCATTCCGTAATAATAATAAATTTCGAATAAAGTTTCGAACTCTCGGTTGTAATTTCATATCTATGTTCTAAATTTATCTTAGTATTTCCATTCATTTCTCAAAACATATTTCTATAAGTGAACCATTATCATTTGGAGTTTTACATCCTACTCTGTGAACATTTTCTGAACTCATTTAAACAAATAATACATTAAGATCGTATATCATATCATAAAAAAAATTAAGCTGATTTCAAGTGGGCTTTATTCAAATTAAGTTTGTCTTCAAGAATATGAAATGTGCTTATTAGATTTTGAAGACAATTTTTAGCTCAAAGTTTTAATTAAGCTTTGATTACAATTCCAATTGTATTAAATAACTAAAAACGATTCTAAAGAAAAGCTCAAATAAAGCTTCCGTTCTCATAAAATTTAAATATTCAAAACAAATATTGAATTCAGCTTTTATAGAACGGAATATTATTTTTAAATAAATATAGATTTGTAGAGCTCAATAACTAACAAAACAAAGCTTAAATGAACTTCATTAAAAATGAAGTTTTTTTTTTTCAAACACAAATATCATTTAGTAAACAAACCAAAGCTTAAATCGAGCTCAAAATTTCCATTCATTAGCGTTTATATCAAGCGTGATTTAGATTAAAAGTTTCAATGAAAATTTCCATTCAATTCAGATAAGATTGGAAATAAAAATTTACATTTTAGATAAATTTTTAATTCAACGTTTTTGTTCATCCGATTAATCTATTCATTGTATAGAAAAGTAGGACGTAAAACTCCATTTCATTTCATTAATTCATTATAGTATTCAGTTGAATTCATTTGTTTTTCTTTTATCTATATCTATTTAGAAATTATCCCTATTCAACGGATAGATAGATATATCTATTCAATTCAATAATCAAATAACTTGTGATGAGGCTTGAAAGTCGATACTGACCGTGGTACCAAAACATTTCTAAAGCGAGATTCGAACCCATGGCACCAGCCGATAATTCAAAGAACAAATTGAAAATTAGTCATTGTCAAAACCAATTTTTGTAATTAAGCAAAATGCGTAGTAAATGGAAATACAAATGCTTCGATATTGACAATTGTCAAATTCATTTTCTCAAAAATTGAAAATTCCGAGTTGTTGTCAAATCCAATGAAACCAATTTCTCATTTTTTCTCGAACAATTTAGAAATGAAAGGAAAATCCAAATTCTTGGAAAACAAAACAGTTTATCAAGTCTAATTTTGAAATAAATATAAATATAAAAGCTAAGAGAAAGCAAATGCTTGGAAAAGATTAATTGCCAAATTCCTATTCTGGAATAATTGGAAAAGTACAAAATTATTAAACCTGTATTGAAATGAATTGAAATACAATAGCTTAATTGACAATGGTCAACTCCAATGGAAAATTTAAAACTTAACAAATTGACAATGGCGAAATCCAAATTCATCAATAGTCAAATTCACTAATAAATGAAAATACAATAGACACACAATTGTCAAATCCGATTTGGGAATAAAATGGAAATCCAAATAACTATGGCCAGGTCCAATACAAAATAGATATAGAACAAGTGTCAAATTCACTTCGAAATGAGTGGAAAAGCTAAAACTTTAAAATTTGACAACTGTCAAATCCAATACAAATTCAGAAATGAACGATTTTTCAAATTCCAAATTCACTAATAAATGAAAATACAATAGATCAGAAAATGCATAATTGTCAAATCCAATTTGGAAATAAAATAGAAATGAAAAGGTCATTCAATAAAAAGAAAAGAAAAAGGAAAAGAATTAGAAATGTTTTTATATAATAACTAATAATAATATAATAAAATCTAACATTAGCACTAATTAGAATTCCACCTTGGGCGAAATCAAATAAACATTTTTTTTAACAAAATAACACAATTTCGTATAACGAGACATTTTTTTTTTCTAAAGATGATAAACTACGGCACGAGGCAGTCACGAGACATACTTCTAAAAATTTACAAGCTATTATGTCATATTTTGAGACAAATTTAATGATTTTTAAAGATTAAATCAATTTCGTAAGATCTTTTCACATTTTTCAAAGGTCATTCAAATTTTTCAAGAATTCTTTCGTGACAGAAAAAAAAGAAACATTTGAATTTGGTTAAAATACATTACACTAGGTTATATAAGAAACAAGTAGCTCCAAGGATCCTCTTCAGGACACCTGATGCCACTACGATTGAGTTAGTCAACTTCAGATTCTTGAGGGTGGAAAGAAGAACAACCCGAACAGAGAGTAAATATTTGAAAATTCGGCACAAAAGAAAAAGAATATAAACATTAAAAATTAATTCGTTTCCTTTGAAATAAATTTGTGAATTTTATTCAACCTGTTTTCCATGGATTAATAATTCAGCGCGAATTCATATGCAAACGACTTCTGAAAGAAACGTTTTTTGCATTCTTTTGTATTCAAAATTGCTATTTCTTTTCATGGTTTCTGAATTATTCAAATGCACTCAAACAAACAAAAGAAACCCTATTGTTGATTTTCATTTAAAGTAACTCTCTATAAAAGCGATTGCAATCTTTCATTACTTATTCTCTTTCAAATTGCATGAAAAAATCGGAAATACAATGGCTTTGATTTGCTTAAAGTAATGAATTGAATGCAGAATGCTCACACATTTTTTTATGGACTCATGAAAAGTTCTGAATGAAAATTAAACAGAAAAGAAAAAATTAATTGAGATAAATCCATGCATTAAATCTTATTGTTCGAGTCAAAATCTTAACAAATTTTCAAATATCTGAATGAAAAATAAAACAAAAAGGAAAATTAATTGAGATAAGTCCATACATTAAGTCTTATTGTTCGAGTCAAAATTTTAACAAATTTTCTAATATCTTAATGAAAATATTTGAATGAAAAGCAAATTCAAAAGCGATGACATTGAAATATCTTTGAAAAAAGAAAAAAAAAGAAAAATGACACTTCGTTTCGTATTATTCAGTAGATTTCAAAAGAATGAAATAAATACAAAAGATAAACATAAATTTGTTAATCTTTCGTGTCGAAATATTTAAAAGTAGTAAATATTAGTAAACACAAACATGGCGGTGATAGCAGACGAGAATATCGACGTTTGCGTTCAATGATTAATTCAATCAAGATTTACAACCATACACGCCAAAATACGTTCATTAATACATTGATTTTGTTACTAAATGTTCTAATTATGGCGTAAATTGCACTATTTCTAACTAATTAGGGGATGTCACTCAAATGTTTCTTTATAGCTCTGTAGGGACTTTAAAAATCGTTTGCATAACGTTGCCCCTTAAATATTTAAAACGTAATCACGTAAGATTGCCAAAATAATTTCAATTCTAAGCAAAAGAATTTCAAAAATGCAACCAAAAGCACACACTACCAATAATTTAATTTGTCCAAAACAAATTTCGTAAAATTTTGAGCCTCATTCCCTAATGCTAAAGACTAAAACGCCATATTTTTTTTTGTAAATATATCATCAATACATCAAAAACACCAACAGACTTTAAAACAAGTACATACTCACAGGATACACAAAAAATTCTCGTCATTGTTTTCTTTCAAATTGCAACAATATGATACGAAATAATAAAATCCCATAGAAGTCTATCTCGTTTTAAAAACTAAAACAATATTTGATTATTTATATATTCGTTTCATGGTCAATTGCCAGTGTTAAATTTTAATTTACTCACAAAACATACTTCCGTATTTTTTGTTAGCACTTAATTTGTACACAGCTTCGACAATTCAGCACTACAAATTTTCAACAATCCATTTTTTGAAGACGTCCGTTGTAAGAAACGTAGTAGTAGAAAGCTTTGTTCCGGAAAATCTAGCACCTCCAAAATTTCTCTTGGACCAGCACTGTCTTCTGAGATCGGATTGCGTCCTTGACTCCCGTACGACAAGTCGAGGGCTTGAGATTTAAGTCACTATTAAGTAGACATGTTTATATAACAGTGGGATGACGGTAATGATCCTCCGGTTTGACCAGCAGATAGGCCACAGGTCGGTGAACATCCTGCGTTGATGGCATGTAACTTGGGGGACAGCACGGTACCAAATACTGTCCGGGGAGCCCAGGATGACTGTGTGCTGCGGGTGGTAGGTTACTCAAGGAAGAACTGTGGTGGTTAAGATACGGGGAGTACAGTGGGTTACCTGAGAGTTCTTGGTGTTGCCGGAGGCTGCTGAGGGGACTCGAGTCCAATTTACTGGTCGTAGGATCAAGGAAAGGGTACATGTGGTTGGAAAGAGACGTCGGTGGTAAGAATGATCTGGCTTTATCACTGAGAGAACTCAAACTTGATCCGTGTAGGGAATCTGATGAGTGTCCGGCCAAAGAGGCAAAGTTGTGAGCCATGCTGCTGAGAGCTGATGCGTTCATCCCGTTTAATCCCATACCCATGCCCATACCCATGCCCATCCCGGGTACAAACGGGATAGGGAAGGCATATTTGTCCTTTCGTAACAAAGATTTTGGTTTTCGTCGAGGTCGGTATTTGTAGTCAGGATGCTCCTTCAGATGTAAAGCTCTCAAACGTTTGGCTTCGTCAATAAATGGTCGTTTTTCTTCCTCGGTTAAAAGTTTCCAGTCGGCTCCTAATCGTTTGCTGATCTCCGAATTATGCATTTTAGGATTTTCTTGAGCCATTTTTCGTCTCTGTCCTCGGGACCAAACCATAAAAGCATTCATTGGTCGTTTGACATGGTCGTCTCTCACTCCGGGTGAAACACTCTCCGATTTCGACATCGGTGACAAACTCCTTGTATCTCCTTTGAAATTCAGAGGCGAGGTCGCTCCATCCGAAGCTGGCATAGTTAAATCCATTTTGAAAAATTAACAAAATCACTCCAAAAATTGTTCAAAAAATTATCCACAAAAATGACTAAACAGTAAACCACAAAGTTGTCAACTCGAACGTATTTGATTTTGTTCGTCTGCTATTTGTCAAGTCTCGTGCTCGTCTCGTTATTGTGTTCGGGTGTTGAAACTAACGCGAAATGACAACTTGACAAAGTTCACGTTAATACTAATACATTTCTAACTTCTCTAATATGTTTAGAACAAGCCAATCGCACAACAAACGTTTTCACTTCACACTATTGTCAATAGAATCTTATCTTGCCGTGGGATAACCATATCACACTTTTCATACGTCAATCAAAGTACAAGTGGTCGTTAATTGGTTGTCAGTCGCTCGTGAAGCTATTACAAGCCCCGCCTACATGTAATCCTAATGGCCATTGAGTGTGTTAAACACAGTCTGTTGTATGTCGATGTTTCACAAGGCAAATAATAGAGAATAACTGCGCTAATAAATCTACTTTAGATTTCTAATGACTCGATAGGAAACTGTACAGTGATATTCGTCACACTTGAGGCAATTTTATACACGTCAATCATTGATGTAGACTCCGCCTAGTAAGGCGTGGAAAACACGTGTCTTCGATTACTAGAACTAATACCCCGATTATATGCGCGTGTGGATTGACATAAGGAATTAAGGAACTGATATTTGATTTTGGGCATTTGAAAGGCATCGTTCATGACGGGTAAAAGGAAAGTTTATAGCCACTGAAAGTCTCAAAGGAGATGATTTTTCTCTGCTGGAATTTTTATTTGAATTTCTTTACCAACTGTTCGAGTCGCTTCTTTCGGATTTAGTTCCATTTTTGATATTGTCATTTTCTAAATTAACATCTTTTTCATATCACATGTCTGGATCTACGAGGATTTTTTAAAAATTTTGCAACGATTTGCTAACCATTTTTTTTTTCATTTATAGTATTTTACAAGAGATGTAAATTGTAATTTTTGAAAGGAAATTTTCAGTCCCATTTCAACAGTTCTTGACTCCCGGTTCTTGACGTATGCAGCAAACAGTAGGTAAATGGGCAAAATTCCCGAATACTTTCTTACAGTGTAGTTGTTCAACTTAAACATTAATTTTTACAGTGTATCAGGAAAAATTGACGATTTAAATCGACTTAAAAAGGCAAAAAACAAAAAAAAAAAAAACCCAAAAATACGCTCGTTTGCTCCCAGCATGAGTGTTTTCAACCATCGAGGTAATTATGAAGTTTTTTGGAGTCATAAGGCGGTAGGTAGTAAAACGATTGTAGGAGAAATAGTAAGGATTCCTAGGTGGAGGGGGAAAGAGGAGTGGGTGGTAATAGTAAAAATCTATAAAGGAAGAAGGTAAGGCAATCAATCAAGGATATTTTAAGGGGTAATAAAGAAAGAAAAGTGCTGGAAAACCTCTGTCTTGACATAATTAGCCTGTTTAAGTACTAGCAAAACAGACAGTTAGCAATTGCGTTTTACAGAGTGCAGAATTTACAGTCATTTTTTACAGTGCGTCAGAAAATCATTATTTTACCTTATAATTTGTTTCATATTTAAGCATTTAAATATCCGGATATTTAACACTTGCAATTAACAGTGTAGGGACAAGTGCAAATTTTTACAATTATATTTTACAGTGTACAGTAACTGTAACATTCATTCATTCCTTCAAACAAACGCCGGACTTGACTTTTTTCAAATCAATTTGATGAATACAAGTTTCGGAAAAAGAAAATGAATTTTTGACCAGGGGAAGGGAAATGAATTTTTGACCAGGGGAAGGGAAATGAATTTGAAAGGGTGTGACCACAATCTAAATTGAAACAAGGAAAGCCACAAACTGTTTTTGTCAAATGGCAACCACAAACCTCAATTATTGGATTTTTTTAGATGCATACAGGGAGGGAGCAGTTGGTACAGATTACAGAAAATTATAACGTAAAACTCCACTCAAGTTCATAAGCCCAAAAAGGTGCAGAACAGTAGAATATAAAACTCTATTTCATTTTATTAGTCCAATAAGATACAGAATAGTAGAATATAAAACTCTATTTAATTTCATTAGTCCAATAAGATACTGAACAGTAGGACAAAAAATTTCATCTCATTTCATTAGTCCAATAAGATACAGAACAATAGACTATAAAGCTATATTTCATTTCATTAGCTCAATAAGGTGGAACCAACTTTTCAAGAAGGAAGAAACAGAATGACGTAAAACTTCATATCAAGTATAATTTATAATGGCCACGCATGCATATTTTCCAATTGACTCCACATTGTTTATGGACAATAAAAAATAGCAGAGGCACATGACAATAGAAATTCAATGGGATTGCAATAAACATAGGAAAAACTTGTCAAAAACAATCAATATCCAAATAATCTAATAAAATCACAACAAAACAAACAATTGATCAGTTGTAATAAACGTATTGAGTATAACAAGAAAAAGTGTCAATATACCATAGGTCTACATGCTTTAAAGGGAACATACCACAAATACCTTTTTTTCGATTTCAATTTGACTTCAGAATGAGCACTTGAATTTCAATGCAATTTCAGTTGTAATAAACGTATTGAGTATAACAAGAAAAAGTGTCAATATACGAAAGGTCTACATGCTTTAAAGGGAACATGCCCCCTATTTCACGTTAGAATTCCGTTTGAGCAATGGAGCGAATACAGCTTATCAGAGCCTTCAGTTATATTGTTTACACTACTCTGTCGAGGACTCTGATTGGCTGTAATCGCTAATGTACAATCCAATCAAATCGTTGCATTAACAAACTTCCGTAAATCCAAAAAAAATATGTGCTACCAATGTTAATGTAGAATAGCTTACAATTGAAAGAGGGTATATTCCCGATCCATGCAAAAAGTTCAGGAAACTCCTTTAAATCAACGGGGTAAGCTCCTTTAAAATATGAACGAAAGTTGTTTATATTAAGAATAACAAAGGGAGTTATTGATAGAAAATAACAGTTCAATATGTTGTTATATTTATTAATCAAAGCCTATTATTTCTTCTTGTCATCTGTCACCTTGCTTTATTATGAAATAACTTATGGTGTTTTAATCAGTTTCTACCCATTGCCTTCTCCCGACTGGGTGGGAATGGAGTTTTACGTCCTATTGTTCTTGGCGGAGTGTGGGAGAGAAGAGGAGACGGGGAGGGGTGGGTGGGCAGAAATATTGAGGGTATCTAGCTTTATTATGGTGTTTAAATTAGTTTTTACCCAATGCCCTTTTCCAAGCTAGTTCGACACGAAGGTTTACGTTGTGCTTGCAATGGAGTTTTAGTTTTTACTTAATGAATACAATGGGAATGGAGTTTTACGTCCTGTGTGAATTGGTTGCCGCAGATGGCTCGAGAAGAAATAAAATGGCGATATACAGCCATACAGGGAACTATAAGGTCTGTCGGGCTTTCGAATTTGTTGCCCATTGTCGACGTAAAAGTGCATTCTTATCAGCCAACGTTGACGTCGCTGTAGTTTAAGGCGGGGGGTTCTACATTCTGGGGTGACTTCGATTGAACCTCTGTGGTCGAGCTAGAGTTGATGGAGAAATGACGTAATTATCTTCAGTGTGCATGTCGAGTGAGGTTCGCAATCGAATTTGATCGAGTTAAGGCAATATGGCGGGACTTTTGACCATATATAGACATTCCATGCTACCATGTTAACTCGTGTTTGACTCTACAAATAGTAAGTGTCGAACTCGAGCTTCTAACTAGGTCAAATATTACGTCACACGAGTCTCAGCTCTAGAAAATATTATAGTTCGTTTGTGACTCCAGTGACTCGAGTCTCCGGGCTCCGTTCGAATACACCCCTGGAGAAAAAAATGTTCCTAGTAACCCTGATCAATAGACCTGTTTATAAGAATTGTAACAGAAGCATATTTTATATTTCTAGCTCTTTATTAAGCTATTGATCTTCGTTAAAAATTCTTAGATTTCATTTCAACTGGACAGCTACCGAACTTAGCTTAATAAGAGCGCCAGAGGTGGAACAAGCCTACTAAGATTGGAGGTTGAAATAGGGGAGCGAACTTACTTAGTCAGTGGAAGGTTGGGAGCATCTGGCGAGGATAAGAGTTAACTTGTGGCAGTTCTGTGGAGCGCTAAGGGCACAAACCTTCCATGGATCGAGAATTTTTTGGTATTGTATTCTGACACTTATCTTGTGGCAAAATTGTTAGAATTAAAATCGGGGACACAAACGATTTTTTAGTGGGGTAAGGGGAAGGGGGCAAATGCCATCGGAGCCAATCCCGGGGCACCAGCAAGAGCCCATCAGTTTTTCATTGGCGCATCATTAAAGGGCTTGTAAAAAGGTTTTCTTAACTTTTTCTGTGTATAGGGGACACAAATATTATCAATTTGCACCGTTCCAAATTTTAGTCAGATGTCTGTGATTCCTGCAATTCCACTAAAACGTTACGTAATTATCGCTAAAGTCCGTCGATATTTTTAGCAGTTTTTGAAATAGCAAAAAACAAAAAATGCATTTGAATTTAGAGTTTTCCTTTAATAATATTTTAACTTTCATTTGATCAAACACTATTTTAGAATCAAAATTTTTATTGTTGCTTTTTTCGTTTTCTGTTCACGTGTACAATGGAGTTCAAAAAAGGAAAATTTAATTAGTAATGTACGGTATTGAAGTCGTGCTACAGGGCACCTGTTACTCTCGTTTCCTTCAATACACTTATTATATTATTTACAAATATTTCTTTTTATCAATTCACGTATCTTATTCTTTCCTTTCATATCTTTTTCTATTTTACACTTCAAAATATATACCCAGCCTATTGTTCCGCCATATTGTTACCATCGACTTCTTTTGTCGTCGCTCATTCAACAGGTGGCTACCGAACAAATTTCAATAAGATTACAT